GACAGAGCCAGCCTGGCTCCTGGCCCAGCCCTTCCCTCTGGACCTGAAGCTCCCCCACCCACCAGCATCCCCAGAGAATAAACCAAGCCTTTGGCAGCCAGTGAGGAGAGCCAGTCAGTGGGCTCCCTTTGTCAGGTGAAAGAGGCTCAGCTCAGAGAAAGGCCGGCTTCCGGGCGGGAAGGCTCCCGCCTCCACATCTGCTAGCTTTGTGCTGCGTGAGTGCCCTGGCACACGGAGCGGCGGGTTCCAGGCAACACAGGGACAGGTGGTACAGGGCAGTCAGGCTGTGGGCCAGTGAGGGAGTGGTCTCTCCCTGCATTCGCATGCCTCCCACGTGCCCAGCCCCATGCCCAACAGTCTGGATGGCATGGAGGCCCAATAGGAGGAGGCGACCCAGGGCCTGCCCTCAGGGAGGCCCAAGCTGGTGGGGAGACCAGACCCACCATACAGGGCAAAAGACAACCCATTGGGAGCTAGTGTGGTCCAGGGGGCTGGGGCTGTCCACGAAGGCGGTTTGGAAAGGGGCGGACCTAGAGATTGAGTCTCAGGAAAGATCAAGCCAGAGGACCCTGGGCCCGGGTCTGGGGTGGTACCCAGGCTCCACTCAGCAGGGCCGTCCTTAGCCACACTGTCTTTGCAGGTGCTGGTTTGGCAAGGAGCCTGGCTACCTGGTGGACTACATCTACCAAGGCCCCATCATCCTTGTGCTCCTGGTAGGTCTACAGGGGGTGCTGGGATAAGGTTGGGGCAGGGTGGGGGGACAGTAGAGGGCTCATCCAGGCAAGAGACTTTGGGGGATATTGTGGCCTGGCACAGCCCTCAGCACACACTCAGGTACACTGCCTCCATACACCATACGCACCACCCTACTTTCTGCTCTGCTCCCGACACTCCCTTCCCCATGTCTGTGCCTGGGTGCAGCCCCCTCCCTGCTCTGGGCCTCAGGTGCTTCCTCTGGCCCTAGAAGGGGTCTAACTGGTGGATTTCTAGTGCCCTCCCAGATCAAACATCCCCTTGCTAGTACAGTGCTGAGAATGCCAGGTGACAAGAGAAGGGTGTGTGGGCTTCTTTTCAGTCCAGCCCAACACCCCCCTCCCCTAGCAACCCTTCTCAGGGGCCCAGCCCACTGCCCCCAGCCTGGAGCACAGATACCAGAATGAAGCATAATGAGGGAATTGTTCCCTATCCAACTCCCTGCCCTGTGCCAAATGTATTCCCATCTAAGGTATGATTGCTACCACGTCTTTAATCTACAGAGGAGCTCTAATTAAGATAGAGTTTATGTAGAAGCTGCATTCTGCAAAAACGAACCCATTATATATTATACACTTAAAAAAAAGACGTACAAAAAAGCTCCGTAAGAAATTGGTATTTGCGTAAGACTTATTTCAGGATC